TCATTCTTTTTCTCTTCTACTGAATATTTCGAATGGGCATGAAAGGGATAAGGAGAAATGTTGAATTCCAGGATAGGGAAGACGAATCATGTAGAAACTTTTGAAAACTAATTTGGTTTCATCTAATCACAATGACAAAAAGAAGAGATATGTTCGATTCTTTTGCGTACATGCATATTTGTTTATATTTATGACAGACAGTGTTTTTAGCTATCTTTAGAAAACAGTTCTACCGGTTATTCGAAGTAGGAAATCACGACCTATTTTTGGAATGAAATACTTGTAAAAAGCTGGAGTGTCAAAGACGCGTTTTTTTCCAGAATAACATATATTTATTTCGTAGAAAAATGCATCTATTACAAAGAAAGATCGTTTACTGTGAGATTTGCAAAACTTTTTTCTAATGGAGAATATCAAAAATCGGGAAACTTTCACAATTAAATCTTACAAAGTACTCTTATTAAAGTAAACGTTGGATTTGTGTATGTGATTCAAATGGAGAAAACATATATCAAATTATAAGAATGATTGTTATAGACTACACGCATAGCCTGCGTGTGTCTTAAAGACAGAACATGTGATATCAACGAAAAAAGAGAAAAACTACATTCTTCTTTTTCAGTCCATATATATTGAATATGAGTTCAATAGTACACAGTAATTGAAGGAGAAAGCCGCAAAGTCTAAATAAAATTGATGTGCAATTATTTTAAGGGTATACTTTCCTCATTTTTCGTCGTCTTGGCAGATCGAGAGCCAAAGTTCAAATTCCTATCCGAGATAGAATAGAACAGCGAAAAAGAAAATATATTTTTGTACTATTCTTTGTTAGTACACAACCCCACGAAAACTTCAACAATCGAGTTCAAAAGCCAAACCACAGATGCCCGGAACGGTATCTAAGAAGAATGGTAGTTTTACTTCGTGGTTTTTGACCTTTCCTTCTCGAGATATAAAACGAATGGTAAAAGCCCTAAGTGAACTGTGAACAAGGTTTCAGAAACCTTGTAACTTGAAAAACATTCAAGAAGAAAAAAAAGGACAACTACCATTCTAAGATATCGTCCACCCTCACCCTCAGGTACCCGTAGCTAAATTATAGACCCGATCCGTTGAAGTTTCGATGTGATCTTAATGCATTCTATCAATTCGTCCACATCGCGTTTCAACCAGAGACGTTGTTTCAAAAATGTTACTGTTTTCAGAGCTCACATAACTGAGTTCTCTAAAATATAGAACACAATTTTGAAAGTTATAAAACAGAACTTTTTCGGCACACGGTCACGAAGTACGCGCAGTATCTCTATTGAAACACACGGTAGACATAAAATGTAGCAGACATTCACCTCTATCCGCCTATATAGATTAAAAGTCTAAAAGGTCTCAAGATAGTTTGTCCGCCACATATGAGACTCTAATTTCAAAAAAATTCTGTGAATTCCTATTTCCGCAAGTGGAAAATTAGAACGTTTGCTGTGTCTGCATGGGGTAAATGGAACGTATCTACCAAAAGTAATGGGATTTTCTTCAAAATATATTTTCTATTTTATGTCTCCATATCATACTATAGATACAAAATTCCTTAGGAAAAGATTTAGAGAATTGTTTCACTCGCGAGCTAATGTACTTTGGAAAGTCAATGCACGTACTCCGGAATATGACGCAGAACACGAAGAGGATTTCCCCATGTTCATACAACGGGAACATGGAAATGTAAAGAATTATTTTAAAAAGTTTTCTAATGGTAATAAAACTCTGCAAACCATATGAGCAGTGGTGTATGCCTTATGCGAAATGTAGAGGAAGTTTGTCATCCTAAAGATGATCACCTCTAAACAAGCACTGTCAAGGACGATGGCCTAGCTTTTGGTTAGGGATGATGATCGCTGATATCATTAGAAGAAGGAAGATCGATGAGGTCAAGAATCTCATTCTATAAATATTTTTCCAGCGCCTGTCGTTGTTCGTAATATGGTCATTAATACAATTTTGCATGATTTTTAATTTATAGACTATGGCAGCATACTTTGTGTCTCGAAGGGAAAACGTATTAAGAAGACTGTTCGTTATAGAAAGAGTCACCGAAACGTTTTCAGATTGTGTACCATATGTGGGACTATTTGTTGCAAAGTGTGGAACAAGATTGACACTCATGAGGTTGGTTACTACAACTGTTAAGTTTAATTAATACCGGGTGTCCCAAAAGTCCAAATGAAAAACAAACTTTAATAACTTCGTCATTTCTTCACTAAACTTCAAGGTTATTTCTTTGCTTAATGGAGAAAAGTTTCAAGTTTTATTTACTGTGTTTGGACATTTTTGTTAATACTTGAAAGAATTGCTCGAGTTTATTATAGTGGGACTCAGGTTTTTGCATTATACAAGATAGCATCGATGATTTCTAAAACTTGGGAGATGTGCCCTACTATAGCACGCAAAAATGTCGAAAAGTCGAACTTGTCTCTTTCCCAGCCGACCCCACCATCGCCTTTATCGCCGCCCGCCTCAGTAACGATTGCATCTCCGAAGACAATTTCTTCTCGTTCGAACTCGAATGTGACCGCTTCTCATCCCACTCGCTCGTTGCATGTCATTGTTGGCAATAGTATTGCTCGTTCTGTTCAACAGCAAAAACTAGTTGATCATGACAATCGAGTATTTATCAAATCTCGTGCCGGTCTTCGCTATGAACATGCGCTTGACGCCCTCAAAAAGGGTGAATATGATCAACCGTTTCAAAAGGCTTTGTCAATCCCCTTTATTCTTGGATCGACGAACATTCCTTTAAATTCGCCTATGAACCTCCTTCTAAAAGCGAAATCGCTCGTTATTGGCACTAAGCGACGATTCAGAAATGCCTCGGTCAATTTATGCACGATCCCTCATTGATTTGACAAGCCAAACGTTCTTCCAAAATAGCCAAATTTAATTCGATGTTATATCAACAAGTTGCCACTGCTCTCAATGTCAACATCATTGACGTCGATTTGGGCGATCGTGTGCGCGACGGACTTTATCCAGATGAATTCGGCTCCGATCTACTCAGTTATTGCCTTCTCAGAACATTCATTGATGCGAGCAAGGTCGACATAGAAAAACATTTCAAGATATTCGAACTGTCCAGCTAAGTAGTGATTCTCCTTCTTGTTTTTCTTCTCTCTCTGAAAATGACATTCATTCAAATTCTTTACTTATCTTGCCTCACAACATCGAAAGCCTAGGACTGCAGATAGATGTGGTTAAGATTATTGCTGCTGAAGACAAACCGAGAATCATGTGTTTCCAGGAAACATGTTTAAACTCGTCCATCACGGATATCGAAATTCAAGTCCCTGGTTATTTTCTCTATAGGCAAGATAGGATAAATGAGGAAAGAAGAGGTGGAGTCGTCACTTACGTTTGATCTGATTTAAAACATCAACTTCATGCCAGTTCTCAAAAGCTTGAGACTATTTGCATTTCCCTTCTATGTTCGGCCATCTCGTTGCTAATTTTTAATTCATACAGGGTCCCTTCATGTAAATCGAAAGATTATTTTTCAGAACTCGAACGATTTGTTCTCACCTACTCGGGCTCGGGGAAAGTACTATATTTTTATACTCTTTTGTACTCTTTTTTATTCTAACGATAACAAATATTTCTGAATTTACACTCTGTCAGTATTATCTGTGCTTAACAGATAATATTTGCTGAGTACTAAATAACTAATCTTTAACAAAGAAAGGGTGATTGGCGGCTAGATAATAAGAGAAATACAAAAGCTGCCAGTAAAATCGTTCGACATAAATAAATGACTTTCCTTTTTTTTCAGAAGAAACGATATTTCGATAGACACCATTGCCAGATTGTTACATTTCGTATTCAACAATGCATTTTTTGCATTAGGCAAAACATTTTACAAATCATTAGGCAATAATTTTACAAAGATGGTGCGATGGGGTCAGCAGTGACTTAAGTGCTAGCCGATCTTTATATGATGGAGTAGGAACTTGATATTCTAGCAATGCAATTAGAGGAAAAAGGAATTTATGTGACATTTCGAGACGACATTCACTTGGCTACGAAACGGTCGCTTTTTGACTTGATTGACACACTCAAAATACTTGACTGTAAAGACCCGCACATAAGACTACCTTACAAGATCGGAGAGTCAGTTGACTATTTAGAGGTGACAATTCTCAAAGATCCCCCGAATACTCGTTTCCGTACGATCGAAAATTTTGATTTTTGACGCTCTGTGAAACATTTTTCTTTGAAAACACGTGCAAAAACTGTCTAATCATAAGTAATCGACTATCCTGAGTACGACTACAGCCCCAAAATTTCATGAAACTGCATTTTGTAATCAAAAAATCTATTTTCTCTCAACTTCCATTTTCGCCACTGAAGGAAAAAACTTCGTGACCCCCCGCTTGTGATCTCTACCTTAAAAACATGACTGATTCTATGCAAAACAGTACAGAGAATCCGAATATAATAAAAACGTTTCTCTTGTGAGGTATTGTTCTGAGTAAAAGTTGTTACTGTTCTCGATATTTATATGTATTAAAATCAGAATGTTTATCGAGTATTTGATTGAAATGTTTATTTAAGAATGTTCGTACTTCGGATATGCCAGGTAGATTTCTTGATTCATGTAAACGTAAAAAATTTTCATCATCAATAGCTTCTTTATTATAACATAAACAAATTAATTCTTTATTTATATTTAGTCGTTTATGGATAGCTTCATTTAATTCATTTTCAATTAATGAATCGGGTATTGTATCAATACCAGTAATAATAACAACAAATTTTGCTGATTTATTCAAATCATATTGCTGTTGTTCTCTATCTAAAATAAAATTAAAATCTTTTTGTTTTGTACAATGAGAAAAACTGTGTGGAGATGGCCTAGTTGTAGCGGATTTTGGTTCAACTCAGTTAAAGATTTTCTCAAAAACCAACTCAGTTAAAGATTCATCAAACCAATTTTTTTGCTCGAAAATTTACATGCAATCCGATTGCCGGACCATGTAAGAATTTTCCGTTCCTAGAAGTAACCGTAGTTTGCGTGAGGTGTATTCAGTTCTGAGGAAATTTTTGAGCAGATTCATCCTACTTAAGGGTCCCCCTCAGAGAAAAACTTTTTTGTCGTACATCCGGTTTTGATCAAATTTTCAGCAAATGTTTGCCATATCAAAGTGTGATTATGAAACTTTTTTTACCTTGCTATCTCTTACGGTTCCGGGGTTTTCCAGAGTCCAAGGTCAAAAATCCCCCCTCCACTGTGGAACACTTTTTTTAAATATACATCAAGCTAAAGATCTCGGGTTAGTTTTATTTTAAACCAGACATCTATCTGCGTGGACTGATGGGATCAGGTTTTCGATCTAAGTCTTCGTTGACTTTCTAAAGATCCAAGATCCTCAAAAACCCTGAAAGATCGTTCCAAGTTTCCCAAAGTTCCTTTTTTTCTAAGGAACTAAGGCTCAATTAAGAAATCTGCTACCATCAGCCCACGCAGTTAGGTATCTAGTTTAAAATAAAACCAACCCGAGATCTCTAGCTTGAAGTATATTTAAAAAAAGTGTTCCACAGTGGGCATGTTCGAACAAAAAACGTGTTTTGAGAGAAAACGCTGTGCATTCGTTAGTCTATTTTAGGACATGTAGGAAAATGCTTGTAGCTTTTGAATGCAAGATCACACAAAGTTGTTCAACGTCTTATTTCGATCAGAAAAGCCTGCTCTACAAGTTTACGTGTTTAGAAAAAATTTACTTGCGTAAGTGCCCAGAAAAAAATTATTATTGAAGACCCTGGTTTTCAAGGCTTCTAGAAAACTTTTTCGAAAACCACGAGAAATCAGTTCTAGGCCCGAAAGCGATACAGATTCTGAAAGTAGACACTCGGGGCTATCTTTCCATGTGCTTGTCTTCACATTGATGTTTTGATACAAAAAGATTTCATTCAGAGGGGGGGGGGAGGGGGGCCCTTAAGCTAAACTATCTCCGTTTTCCCAAAATTATCGTAAAATCGGATATGTCTATAATCCAAAGATTCTGCTCCTACTATTTCTGAGCTCAAAATCTCGGATTGGGTCAAATCAATACTTTTCCTTTACGTCATTGTATCTTAGTGGTGTAACTCTTACAAGAAATTTTTTATTATTAAACATACCCTGTTGATCTATTAAAACTTGTTCATCTACGAGTTTCGGTTGAGTGGTTGTAGTTGCGTTTGGTACTTGTTGGTTTGTCTCTGAAAGCGATGTGGTTGTTGGTGATAATGGTGATGTTTGTAGTTCCTTAATTATTATTATTATAATTATTTTATGTGATGATAAAAAATCTAAATTATTACCTATAATTGTTATTTTAATATCTGTATGAGAACAAATAGCTGTTGCTTTACTTATATGTGGATTAAAACGTTTAAATTCAGTTATATGTTGTTGATTTTTTCTTATATATGTTGAAGATTGACATTGAATAATTTCACATGATATTAATGATGAAATATATTTTTCCATATAATGATAAATAATATTTGTGTCGGTAATTGTTGCTGTCGATGAACTAAATGATTCGATTAATTTTTTTGATATAACATCAATAAATTTTTCTTCATTTTTTTCATAATCAATTATCATTGTATTACTTTTGTAAGTAATAATCCATTCATAGGGGTCTGGATTATTTAATTCATTCAAAGGTAGTACTGAACGCATAAATCCATACTGTCCTATTGGTTTATAGTCCGTAATTTTATTTACTAAAAGGTTTTTCAATTTTGGTTTCATTAAATTTAAAGTACTAATTGATTTATTGATCACTTCTTGTGGTATACCAGTTGATAAAGAAATGAGTGTTAGAAGCGTGTTAGTAATTTCTGAACATGATTCAGTCATGGTTGCTATTGTTGATTGAATGCGTGTACCAGTTTCAACAAGATTTAATAAATTTGGTACAATATCACTTTGATTTATTATTGTTAAAAAATGATGATTAAAATTCTTTTTAATTAAATCTTTAGCAACAGTATTATTACCAATAAATGGTGCACCAAAAGCAATACTATATATTTGTGGATTTTCTTTAAAACTTTTATTAGCTAAACTAAATATGGCACATAAATGTGCAACACTACCACCTAATGAATGACCAGTAAATATTAAACGTTTACGATGATCAGATTCAGAATAAAATTCATTCATTAATGTATCATATGGAAATTCTGATGCACGTTTTGAAAAACCTCTATGAACCATGCCTGATGATGTTAACGCAGGATGTATAGTTAAATCGGTTAAAACATCATTGGTATTTGTCGTACCACGAAATGCAACCCACAATGTTTCTTCATTAGTGTTACTTTTGGATATGGCTAATAGATATGGTGAAGGTGCGTTAGATACAAATTTTAATCCACATTCATGAACAGTTAATGTTGAAATACAATTATAAGACGAATATTTTTCATTAATATGTACAATTGGATCTGAATAATAAACAGCATCCGATAATACAGTGGCCATTTCAATATCCATATTAGAAAAATGACATTTTTCTTCATCTAATGTTGACTGTACAAGTACACGTTTTCCAGGATATAATTGATATTTTCTCTTAAGTTTACATAAAAAATAACCATCAGTATTTAACAAGACAACAATAAGATCATCATCTTCGCCGTTATCGATCGATACTTCTTGTAATTTTGCATTTGGATATTCCAATACTATTGTTTCTGGTCTATTACTTTCAATATTAAATTGTTTAACAAGTGCTTGAAAATATATTGGACATTCACCATTATTCAAAGAACTTGCTGAACCAAATTGATCGAAACTGGGAATAAATTCTTTACACTGTTGTTTATAGGTTATTGATACTGCCATCTTCAAAACAAACAAAACAAATTTTCTTTTACCGTCAGTGAAGAAACCAATTTGCCTTTCAAATAAAGGGAGAAAGAAAATCTTTATTTTTTGTTTTAAAAATAATATCAACATTTTTCAAGATGAAAAAACATGAAAGGTCGAATTACGAAAAAAATATGTTATGTATTTTATTACAGTCAAATTTAATCAGTTCATTAGAGATCATCATCACAGGATGTCTCATCAGAAGGTAATCATTTCTGATCCGCTCTGTTCTAAAAGAATTACAAAAATTT